TAGGATAGCTCCCTTAGTCATTTTCATATTCATGCATTCGTGTGGATTTTTTTTTGAAATGTTTTTTTTGCTGCAATGAAATTTGTAATTTGTATTCACAAATAACCAATTGATCGAATGCCTAAATTAAGAAATTAATTTAAACGCTTATTTTATTTCGATTATATAAATATTTTTGCAATTATTCCAGCGAAAATAAGCATATGACGGTTTTATAAAATTTTATAAATATGCCCACTCCTTTTAAAATGAAAAAATTAGAAAAATCAGGAGAAAATTATAAAAATGATGATAATGACCGAAGCGATAATAATTTACAAATACCAAGAATTGTTATCCGTGTTATGAGGAATAATATTCTTTTATATATTATAAATGACAAAACTCATTTTGCAAAAAACTGCTGTGTTAGAGGTTAATTAACTCAATATAGTGCGTTCGTGGGGTGCAGTAAAGCAATTTGTTAAATAGATTATAGAAACATTCTCAAGCAAATGTCGCTTAAATAGAACGACAAAATAGCGAGGCAATAGCGACAAATGAGCGACGTTGAGTATAATAAAATTAATCCTCTTAAATCCAAAGTTTGGGTGTTGTCGAGGTTTCTTTAGGTTTCTTTACTCATTTGTAAGATATTTATAAGATTATATAATGATAATGGTATGTACGACTAAGCCGCAACGATGTGTAGGTTCCATGTAGGTACCTTTCGGTAATCAATAGAACATAATAATCAATAGAACATTTATGAGTTAGAATAGAACTTGGCCAATGGAAAACGTTCCGTTTTCTGTTAAACGTTAATTTTTCTTATTAAATGACTGTTTCTGAATAATATTTAATGAGGAAATAAAGGAGCAACTCGGATCATCAAATTGGATTTAATTTGCTGTTCCACTTCATTGGAAACTATACGTTTCGAAACAAAAATTGCTCCTTCGCGTTCAAGTTTGAGCGACCAAATAAAACTAAACATACACCAAATACGATTTACAAAATTCTGATTCTTTAACATTAAAAGCGTTTAAACCTCCGGTTTTAGAAATTTTGACTATATTTTGCGAAGAGCCTTTCTCTTTAAGCTCATTGCGATTAATAAAGGGTAAATCAGATTTTAATATCGAGGAAAATGATCAACTGCTCGGGAATTCGAAAGTTTTTCGATCCTTGGCTTTACTACGTCATACGAGCTAAAAAATACAAATAAATCATTCCACATTATGCTAATAGTGGCCTCTTGACCTTCGTCTTCCATAAATACTTAAAAAGGACTTTTCGATCGTACCGAAATTGATAAAGTTATCAAACTTATCAATTAGGAGGGAATTTATTGCAAGCTTTTTCGTCAATAAAATTACAGAATTTTCTCCTTCTCCTTTTACATAAACCCAATTAATTTTCTATTTTGCAAATTTATTTATTAAATGCTGAAACGTAAATGAGTCAACCGCTTTCGCTTTATTAATCGAAAATAATAAAATATTTTCGCGAGTTTCAGCAAAAATATTTATGGATTTTTGCATATTTCATCATTTATTAAGGAATTTCCATTTTGATATTAAAATTTTCTTTTTATGATTCGCAATATTTAGCCGATGGCCACGATTCAAGAGAGAACGCATGTGCTTGTATGCGATTAATGCTGCACAAAGTAAAATTCGATTAAAATTAAAATTATGATGGGTTTCGTTGTGTTTGTTTATTTTGTTGATGCCTTTCTTACGTGCAGTGCAGCATTTTTATGTAATTTTTTTACAACATTTTGTTGCCATAGTGTACTTAATTGTAAGCAAAAATTGTATCTATTTTTTCGAATACGTGTCGATTTTAGATAAAAATTTGTTAAAAATGTTAAATTCTTAGTTTGAACGATCGGATTGCTTTACATTAACGAGCAACAATGAATAAAACAAAATTTCGTTTGATATTCATTTGATAAGAAGCATTGCTTATGATATCAAATCCAATGGAAAGTACACAAAATTTTTTCATGTTTCATAATATCTGACCAGTTGAGATGAACAAATAGTGAAGAGTGAAGATTTAGACGGTTTAGACGGTTCTTGTGGAAATCTCTCATCATTTGATAAAATCATTTCTTTCAATAATCTCTTATCATTTGATAAAACATCCAATTCAAATTCCCACCTTCAAAATAAAAGTTTTTTCTAATTGTCCGAGAAAAGAACCTCTTATTTCGTTACGATCTTGTAAGCCTTTAAAAAATTCAAAACAAAGCGAACCAGTTTGCATAATAAAAGGAGTTCGTCCAATATATTAAATGAAAAACCAATCGGGGTTAACTGCTAACAATAAAAATTAATTAAAAACTGGGTTGAAAAATTGGTAATTAAGATAATTGCTTGAATTACAAGTAATAACTAAGCTGATTAAGTTATTTTTGTTATTGCCTGTCACAGAAACTGCCAAATATTTCCCTCTAAACCATTTCTGCATGACATCGCAAACGAATGAGACAAAAATTACGGTCACGTTATACTTTGAAGCCAATAAAAATGAAATTAGAGATGGAATTTGCATGAAAGTGATCCATGGACATTAAGAGTTTAGCCTTCATCAAAGATTTATCCTCGGTAAGCACAGATTCTTCGTTATTTCGTCACAGCCAGCATACGTAGCGCATTTTGCAATGAGTTGCTAAGTTGGTTATGCCTTTTGAAGAAAAATGCGAAGGGCTTAAACAGAAAGATTTCTTTGCAAAATATAGTCAACGTTTTAAACACCGGAGAAGATTTAAAAGCTTTCAATATTTCTATATAAAAACAGAATTTTCTATATCATATTTGTCTAAAATTCTATTTGGTCTCTCAACTGGAGTGACCAGCTCGATCCGCAATTTTTGTGTCGAAACATACAGTTTCCAATGAACTGCAAAATTTCATTCCAATATTATAATTAATCCGAATTTCTGCATTATTTCCTCATAAAATACTACTCAGAAGCAGTCATTTAATAAGAAAGTATAAATCTACTTCAGCGGTTTCTCACTGAGCTGCCTTTTTGGCCAAAAATCATAAAATGTTATAATTCCTCTATGAAAGAGAAATTAAAATTTATTTTTCTTATTGACTTTAACTGAATAATTCATTTTTCTTTGTTCTATCCACGAGGCATCAAATCTCATTTAATTTTTATGAATTTAATACAAATTCTGTAGTACAAATCAATTGAATTATTATTTGCTAGAAAGGCAGTGAAGTGATTTCATCCGCTTGTACGATGAAATAGCTTTAAGGCAAATTTCCTGCTCTATAAGTGCTAAACTATATTTCAATAAATATGAAATGTTGCGAGTGCGAAAGTATTAAAGGGTGGTTTACGCTTTGGGGGGGGGGGGCTTTTTGATAATCGTTTATTGAATAATATTTAGTAATATTTTTTTATTTAGTGTGGCTTAGATAGTTTTAGGGCTTTTTGGCTTTCATTATGGAAATGAAAAAATTTGAATTAATGCAATAGTTTGGTTTCGAAAGAACGAACCCTATATTCTATTTTATTTCATTTGATTTGATTTGTTTTTATGGGTTTTTGGCCAAAACGTAAATAAATGGTAAATAATTTAATAAATAATTTATAATTTTGAAAATAATTTATGCGCATATTTTCCGATCCTCCGTAGCTCATCTATAGATTCTGTGTGAAAAATTTTTCCTTTTAATCTCAATTTGGTAATTTATTATTTATAAATAATAAATTTCATAAGACAATTCATGCCGATTTAAAAGAAGAAAGGCATATTTTGAAGAAGGAATGATTGTTTTATAATAGCGGTTTCGAAGTCGTTTTAGGCCTAAAATGAAGAATTATGCGAAAGAAATAAGAAATAGATTTGTTGCAAAAAATGATTTTTTGAAATTTTTTATTTCACAGGATAATTTCTCCAATTTATAAATAGCATTCGAGGATAAAATGAATTTTACAAATTTTTTTTCGCAGACTTTGAAAGAAGATTCGATGCGGTGACTTCAAATTTCAAGCTTCTATCTGTCGAATAACCCTGATTTGGACAACAGCACTGCTTTACTGTTGGACAAAACTGTTCAAAGTAGATGGTTGGCATTCGTTGCGGATATAATACTAAAATTTTTGAGAGCAAAGCCTTTTAATGCTCTAAGAAGAAATTTCGTGAAGCAAAATCATGGAAATATTCTAATCTTTGAATCGTGAATAACGACTAATCGACTATTTTCAGAAACTCTAATTTAAATTCAGTTGTTTTATAAAATATTATTAAATTAAATTGAAATTAAATTAAATTAACGATTATGAAATTAGAAATTATAAACTTAAAAACCACTGAAGTCAAAGAAGAAACAATAAATCCGACAAAAAAAGAAAGAAAATATGAAAATATTCTAACCGCTCTGCTGAATTTTCTCATGGAGGATATCACTAACAATATCTTTCAATGATCAATCTCTTATAAGGTGGTCCTCTTTTATGGCAGAAATACATCGGACGTGTCTACAAGCTTTTGGTGGACGATTCGCAAAGCTTTAAAGTCATTTCCTATGTCCAATCAGAATCGTTTCTAAATTAACGAATTCGAGAAACCTTTCTCTCGCCTGAACATATTTTCGTTATCTCACGTTCCACATGGCGTCGAGAAAATTGTCAAAAAAATTACTAAAACTATCTCTCGTTTCTTGGCAGAGAGCTTATCTTCGAATACGCCATATAACTCAATGGGGAAAAGGTCGAATAAATCTCTAAAAGGTCCCAAAAAAAACTTGGTGATTATATTCCCACAAATATATTTCGAATTAGTTATGAAATCTGCGATAATAAAGATAAATTTCTAAGTAATCTCTCGCTAGGCATAAGATTAAGAAAATTATCAAAAAAATTCCAATTCTATAATAATTCTTTCAAAAAATTCTCAACCTTTTCGCAGCCATATTTTGCGTCGTCCACCGATTCCTTTGTTAAGCCATTAAATCGCTTATTGTAATCCATAACAGTGGATTTTGGTTTAACGATTACGTGCAGTTCACTAAAGTTACTCTCGCAATTGACAAGCCGCGCCTCGTGTAAACCATTTCACTATCCAGAACGTATATTTTGCCATTGCGAGAGTCACTTGGGTCCGATGGTGCTGGTATCTGAAAATTTCTTTAATGAAGTATCTGAAAGCAAAAATATAAAGAAGAGGGAAATCCATATGTCTGTAAACAATCTTCCATGAAAATTGTTGAGAAATTTCAATCACACACCTCAATAAATCCTGATAAGTCGCTCCAAAACGCTGTGTTGGTCACGTGAGACTCACTAACGGTACATGCTTGTCCGTTAGGCCCAGAAGAACAGCAGGAAAAGCGCATTTCCCAACTGTCTGCAAATAACACTATAGCATATTAGGCAATATAAAGATAAAATAAAGGAATAAAAATTAAAATTATCCACAGGTACTTCTCTTATATTAATAAAAATTTTACGGTAGGTAGATGAAAAATTTAAAAATTCTATTCGGACTGCTAACCTCCCACTTTCACCAATTTTCCCCATTGGTAGAAGCACCGCTGTAGTGGAGTCAATTTAGGTGTCCCGTGGAAAAAGAATTCGTCGCCGCAGCTGCAGCACCTTCTAACGAAATCTGCGGAAGAAAATTTGTGAAAATCATTCCATCCTCGAATTGCCTTGTAGAAATCGGAAAATTATTCTGTGGAATAAAAACTTTCCTATAAAAAAATTCGGAAATTAAATATACATAGTATAACTATGATTCGCACGACTCTTCATTATAATGCTTGCCCTATGGCTTACAATAAACCTCATTTCAAGAAACCCTACCCAGAAATGTTTGGCATATAGAAAAAAACCCATAATTGAGCAAGAACCATTCGATCACTCATAACCGACAAACCATATCTGAAAGATTCTCCCCTCCCTCCCTTACCCCTCCCACCAATTCTTATTATTTATAGCAAATTTTAGAAATGACCCTTCATTTACCAATTCATTACGATCGCTTTACGATCAACAACAGGATTAAGAGAAAATTATGAAATATTTTATAATACAAAACAATATTTTCAATATAACAATATAATCTAAATATTACAACACAATTTTTTAATCTGCCTGTCGATCAGTTGACTAATAATCGCAAAGTGTTGCAAATTTTCATTCCCTGAAGGCGAATTTAAATGATGAATCTTCTCTTTTAGTCATAGCCATGCGTAAGTCATTTCAATTTTATTATTTCATTTTTGGAGTTCGATTTTTTATTTTTCTTATTGAGCGGTGGTTTCTTCATTTCATTAATCACCAAATGTTTAACGTTTTGATTTTATTATCATTCGATGGTGATAAATGAAAGCTTCGTGCGGCACAAATTCATTTACACACCCTCGAGGAGATCTTTCTTGTATTATAAAAAGTGACAATAGAACTATAATATAAAATTATGCAGTATTTTATGGATGTTTATTAATACAATATAATATAAAATATAAAATGACTGTAAAGCAATCGAGCGACTGAAACGAGCAATCAATAAGAAATGATTTGATTGTTCCTGCGAAATTTTGAAATGGGATAAAAGAACTGCTTTATCAATTGATAAGAGATTAATTCAAATAATTATTTTGCTAAATAGAAGGAGTAATTCACTAAACTGAAAACATTCATTCGTTTCTTAGAATAATTTTTCTTTGAATATTGAAATTATTTTTTAAATAAGTAATATTAATTTTTTTATGCAAATTCATGTTTTCTTCTTATATGGCTATTTTATACAAGTTTTATCAAACAAGAAAACCCGTTATTGTTTAATTTTTTCCTGTTCTATTATATTTTTCTTTCTATTCTCCATGAAACCCCCTGGTGATTACTGTTGCTGGTTATTGCTAATGAACCTTGAAACAATAATTGTGGATATATAATTGGCATTTTCCATCCTTGCTGGTCATATTTTACCAATTATAATTTTTATATTTTAATATTTTATATAAGAATTCATGCAGAGTGGTGATGAATTGGTTGTAGGAGGTTTAACTAACCCACCAGCGATCTTATATAAATTCGGTTGAGTCGAATAGAAATTGTCAAAGTTAATTGCGCCCGTTGATGAGGAGAATTTCCGCTTGTGTTCAGTCAATGACTTAACATCTTTATTAATGACACTCGGAAATTTTTCTTCGTATGCGAATTTCATTGAAGAATACAACCACTTTTTATTGGACACTCTATACCCTTTACTATTAGCTAGTGAGACAGTTTAATAGAAATGCAGTGATCACCCTTGGAATTGTCACTAACTTCACATTCGACGAAAGGTTGAATCATAAAACAAGTAGTTGGAATATTGTGGTAATTGGCCTCAGCCGAAGCTCATCTTTCGTCTCCAATATGTCCATTAGCCGATTCTATTCAGCAAGGACAATAAGATAGAATATAATAACGATAAGATAGATAAGATAGAACGATAGAAAAAATCTTCTTAATAGGCGATGATCGTTTTTTACTACTTTTTATTTCGATCTCTATTGCCTAATTAATTTGATGAGAATTCAAATTATAAGACTCCTTGAATGACCTTTGACATGTACGGTTTTAAAAGCATTTGATAACTACATTTTGCTTCGGAAAGAATTGTACTATAAGACAAATTTGCATACATACACAGGACAATAAAAATTTAAAAAATATTGTTTTAATTTAATTGTGCGAAAGTAATAAGAAAGTTCTTCCTTACATCAGATGCTGATCACTATCATCTGATAAATATAATGAGGTGAAAAAACCAATAGATGGACATTTTAAATAGCTGATAGTTACTGTAAGTTATCGATAATGCAGAAACAAGTTACTTAGCAGGTGAAATGCAAATAAGAGGTGGACATTTGCTAGACAACACAAGCTGATCGACACGTAAAAAATGGTCACTCATCGTTTCTCGTTATGTTCGCTACATTGATGTGTAGATCCTTGGCTACTTGAACATAGTACGTGTCCATTGTACAAAAGCGATATTCTAAAGGATAGCTATATAGAGAGCGTAAAATTTATTTTTGTTCTAATATATTAATTTTCTGGAAATATTTTGAATTACTGGAAATACTCTCAAATTTCCTCATGAAAAAGTACCATTGAAGTTCATAAAAACATGGAAGATGGGAAAAATTTGAAGAATCTAAAAAGTTGAAAACTTAAAACTGCCTTCATGAAATGAATTGTAATACCAACGCCTTTTTGGCCAAAATTCAAAATTTAAAAAATTTAAATAAATTGAAGGAAAACTCCTTGAATCCTTTTTTCTTATTGAAAACTATTTAAAGATTGATTTGAATTGAATAATAATAGTTGAAAATGATGCAATATAATTAATAATATAATTATTAATCAGCAATATAAAATTGTAATTTTTGTTGTCAATTGTAATTTTTGTTTGATTTTTATATTTTTTATATTTGTAATTTTTGTAATTTTCCAAAGTTGTTTTTTTCCATGGGGGTTTTCTAGTATTGTCACAGTATATCATTTTTTTTTCTACATTACTTCTCATAAATCTCATGGATAATGATCGTTAATTTGCTAAATTATATTGCTAACAGTTATTTAGCAATTCAAGTTGTTCAACATCAATGTCATTCAATCAATGTCATCAATGTTGATCATTTTTCCCTTAACAGCCATTTTTAAATGATATGGCAATTCTTTCGAGTGGTTATGTTTCGTATCCTGTTAAGTTTTATCAGTCGTTAAACGGTGATACGGAATGTTTAAAAAGCATCCGCCGTAAGATTTTACCTGCAATAAGGTTTCTTTTAGGTATCTTTAAGTGCTTATATGGTATTCACGCATTTATTTAAATAGTTCACACGTCTTTTTGCCCAAATATTCAGCTAATTCACGCGAAAATTTCTTTATTGTTTAATTGCTCAAACAGTGAAATGAAAACTGACTAATTGAAATATTTGCAAGAGAACTCTTCGGCCTCTGATGAGGGAAATTTAAAATTAATAAAAAGTAAATATCAGATTTTCATGTCGAAGAAAATGATCAACTGCTCGGTGAAGTCGAAAGTGTTTCGATGCTTGGCTTTATTACATCATTCGAGCTATAAAATTACAAATAAATCATTCCACATTATGCTAATTATGAAATTAGTGGCCTCTTGACCTTCGCCTTGCATAAATACTTAAAAAGGACTTATCGATCGTGCCGAAATTGATAAAGTTATCAAAATTATCAATTAGGAGGGAATTTATTGCAAGCTTTTTCGTAAAATTACAGAATTTTCTCCTTCTCCATAAACCCAATTAATTTTCTATTTTGCAAATTTATTTATTAAATGCTGAAACGTAAATGAGTCAACCGCTTTCGCTTTATTAATCGAAAATAATAAAATATAGTTTCAGCAAAAATATTTATGGATTTTTGCATATTTCATCATTTATTAAGGAATTTCCATTTTGATACTAAAATTTTCTTTTTATGATTGGCAAAATAGAAAAATATTTCTCTTAAATAGAAAAATATTGTAAATATTTCTGTGTTGTATAATTACATATTTCATGTAATATAATGAAATGGTTAGAGAAGAAATAAAGCAAACAGTATTACTTACTAGAATGAAATATTTCCCAAATTTTTAAATTTTAGAATTTTTGAAAATTTTAATATTTTTTCTTCATCTTATTCTAACAACGCGAACCATTACTGTTTGCACTGTAATCGAGGTGACTACAAAGAAGGCAGACCCAACTCGCTCGATCCGATGCCATTTCCGAAACCAACAAAAGCCACTCATTTTTCCATCTAAGCGAATATCTTCAAAATTATCTTCTAATGTATTAATTGAAATCTTGATCAGTCCTCGTTTTGTTTTTTACACCATCCATCCAGCATGACCCAGCGAACTGCGCCATTTAATAATAATAAACAATAAAAAAAAAATTATTCAAAAAAATGAACACCATAGTGAATTTTTTAATTATTGCAAATTATCTCAAGCAGAAAAGAAATTCGAAAAAATGGACCCTCTAAAAACAAATTTATGAATAATAACTCTTACCAAATTCGAAATTATCAATTATCAAATTCGAAATTTTATAAATTAGAATATAAAAAAAAAATTTGTGGAAAAAATCGCACCATTGTTAACTTTTATATTTCCGATCAATTTATTGATCCAAAATATATTTTAATAATTAACAACATAAAACAATGAGAAAAAAATATTCCGAAAAGAAAAAAACACGATATTTAATAAAGCAAATTACAGAAAAGTGTTAAATAATTCAAGAAATATTATTATAATTTGAAACATGTGTGAAACATTAAAACAAGTAACAAGAAATTTATAATAATTAATATTGACATTCCACTGGAGATGGCAATAAATGCCACTTGTCAATGACTGAAGCAAACAAATAAAGCCAATATTATGGGCAGAAAACTCCTTCCGTCAATTCACAGTTCGATTACGTTGTCCCTACCATATTTTGATCTTTCATTAGAGAAGTGGAAAGTAATGCACATCAATTTATGCGAAAGATGACGAAAAAGAGGACGACATTTGAGGAAAGCAGTAATGTGAGAGTGTGACTGTGTTTGCCTGAAACATGGACGACACTTCAGGAATGGTCAACTGGGCAGCATCCTGATAAAATCCATTCTTAATGGCTGCATTTTTCAAAATGATCATGCACATTGCCGGACAAATGCTGGACAAATGCAGATTTCACGGTGATTTCATACAGGTGCCTCAGAAGAATGAAGGCGCAACTGTAGTTGAGCTGGAATTTTCATAGTACAAATCCACAAACTTGTCATTATTCCTTATTTTATAACACATTTACTCACTGAGCATTTTTCCATCAGATTTGCTGTATCTGCTGTTTTTAGC